TTTCACCAGAGGTGCAGGCATTGGTGAAGCAGCTGAGGAAGGGCATCAAGAAATGGTTGGATCCATTGCGGTTCAGTACGGTCCACATGCTGGCAGCCATGTGTGACCTGAGGGTGAAGAGGAGTGTGTGCACCAGAAAAACCCTGAATCATTGGGCGGAGGTGCTGGTGAACAGTCTAGGAGGCATAAGGGCACAGGTGGGGGGATGTGGAAGAGGGGAGTCCACTTTCCCATGCTAGCACTCCTAGCAGCAGCCAATCTCCTCCATGACAAGCACCGCCAATGTGGGCCAAGGACATGGCTTCAATGGTGGGGTCCAGACACACCAGACCCCAGCATTGGGCAGGTATCACCAAGGCCTCAGTAGCTACCTATCTCAGCGAGGATGTGGAGCCACTGGATTGTGACCCCTTGGCTTACTGGACAAACTGCAGATAGATGTGGCAGAATCTAGCCACGGTTGCCCAGAAACACCTGTCCTGTCCACCAACCAGTGTTCCAAGTGGGAGGGTGTTCAGCATTGCTGGGGATGTTGTGACACCCACCGCATCTGCTTGGATTGTGGTTTGGTGGAGCAGCTAGTGTTCCTCGAGGTGAATCTCCCACTGCTGGGTTTCCTCAAGCTCCACCTGCAGATGGAGTGAATACCACCCTCCTCACTCTGTCCACACCTATTTCCTCTGTCTGCACCTATTTCCATTTTTTTTAACCATTTAATGCCCTGCTTTCAGAGCTGGAGGCAGCACTCACTGCATCACCAGCCAGCAAGGGAAGAACATGTCCCTGCTGAGCTCCTGTGCCAGAATGAACCTGGAGGTATTGACTGGGACTATGGGGAAGGAGGTGGCCTCAGGTTCTGGGCATGACCACTCAAATTGCACTCTGCCAGTGTTGCCCTGTGGGGTCAAGCCAATTCTCAGGATCTCAATATCGTGCTGCTAGACAGGAGGGCATGGTGTACAATTGCACTTGCACACACTCAAACATTAATTAGGTGCATACACACACACTAGGTGTATATACCCACACACTAGACATCAGTTGTCAATACCCACACACCCAATACACATACACAGATCACTAATTCAGATATCTCACACACCCATGAGTTCCTAACTTTGATGTGTGTGTTTGGGGTACCTGGGAGAAGGTTACGGTGAGAGAGAAAAAGAGTAAGGAGTGAGAGTTGCTGGAACTGGGATTAGAATCAGTAAACTAGAGAGAAGCTGGCTGAGGAACTGAGGCTTGGGGTTACTTAAAGTCAAGTGGCCCTGGGGGTTACTCAGGGTCACCCGGTGCCGGGGTGGAAGCAAGGGGGGAAAAAAAGCCCAGTGGCAAAGAGGAAACACCCAGAAGACAGAGGCATAAAGTTGGGAGATCAGGGGAAAAGGCAATAACAGTGGCAGAGATCGGGGAAAAGGCAGTGGGGGTGAGACAATAGCTGTGGCAGAGATCAGGGGTTGGGGTGAGACAATGGCAAAGAAACACAGGCTTGCAGGGAGAGAAGACCTCAGGACAGTTGGAGGCACAGGAGCATGGGACAGGTGTTGGAGGTGGTGGTGAGCCAGAAGCAGGAGAGGGAAAAATGAGACAGAAGTTAGAGGAGCAAGGAGCAGAGATTGGAGTAGGGCTGAAACACAGTAAAGCAAAACCCAACTCAGGGGTCCAAATAACAGTTTTATTAAATGAACACTGTATTGTACAGCTTGGTTCCCACACACACTCACACAATGGCAGCAGGAGAAAGAGGCTCAGTGGAAGGGTTGGAGTCCAAGTAGGGAAGAGAAACAGAGTCCAAGTCCCTGGTTGAAGAGGGGGTTGGGGGGTGATAGCTGCCTATCCAGGCTAGAAAGAGGTCTTTGTCCAGCAGGTGTTGTCCAGAGGGGGTTGCTGGCAGGGCTTCTGGGTGGATAGGTGGTGTGGCATGGTGCTGGTCCAGATGGAGAAGGTGTCCCAAGGAGTCAGTCTTCACTACCCCTTTTTATGGGGCAGACTACCTCTGATCTCCTACGGGGAAGGCCTGTCCAGGCAATGTCAGCCCTGTTCCAGATGCTCATACTGAGCATGTGCAGTGTTGGCACAATGGTGGGTTTCCTCATCTTTTGTTTCTTGAATGCTGATGGTGGTTCCAATGGCTGGGTCATTGGTCCAGGTATTGGTTTTGATGGTGGGGTGATTTAGTAGGAGGTCCTGTTACCATTGTGTTTCACTCATCCATTCACTCTTTTGTTTCAGGCGTTCAAAGAAAACCAATTTACATGGGAGAGGTTACAGAATTGCCACGTACTTACACAACAGGGCATGGGGACAAGATGGGAATGGATACTTAACATCACTTTACAGACACAGGCCTAAACCATACAATATTTATATGAAACAATAAAAAAAGTCAATGCACAAATGATAAGAATACAATATAAAACAGTAAAAATCAATACAAACATAACAGAACACTATTTACAATATATGAAAAAAGGGGCTTATTACAATAATAGTATACAAGAACTTAGCTTACCTAGTACTACTTGTAATTACTTATAAAGGGATAGAGAGGGCAGAGAGGAAGTCAGAAATGGCTGGGGAAGGGGAGGGAATGTATTTTTAAAAAATAAATAAATAAATAAATAAATAAATAAAAAACCCCACCAAGACCAAAAATGGGGTTTTGCTACACCAGGGTCGGGAAGCCTGATGGGACTGACACCATGAAATGCCTAGGAAATTGATTTTTTAATTCCCTTTGAGGATCAGACCTGAGAGACTGGAGACAGAATGGTTCTTTTGTGAGAAACATGCCCCCCCACAGGTAGTTGGGTATTCTTGTCTTGTCTTGGATGGATTCTGGTGTGCAGTTTGTGGGGATACTGGAGAAATGTTTGCAGGTTTTGCATTTCTTGTCATGGCATGGCCTGGATCCATTCAGTGTGTTTTGGGTTGTAGCTAGTTGGCTTCTGGTGATGAAGTTAGTGAGGTTCAGTGCTTGTTTGAATTTACAAACCACTTTTCACAGACGGGCCTATGAATTTAATTCATCAACCTCCTAGATGCAGAAACTCATGAATACAATATAGACACTGGATTTAGGACACACTACAACCTTCTGGGCATCTGACTCCCTAGGTAGCAGCAGGAACCTCTCCACTTTACCTGCTACATTCCCCCTCCCCCCCCCCAGCCTGTCTTTCACCCCATGACACCTCCATTTCCATTTTCACAGATTGGTTTCCTTGTCTACATTACGTGCTAGCCTCTGGTTTCTTTATTCCTTCCATCCAGGAAGAGCGCCCGCATGTGCGC